TTTTCTTTTTTTTTTTGAGTTGGAGTCTCACTCTGTTGCCCAGACTGGAGAGCAGTGGGGGCTCCCGGCCACCGCAGCCTTGACCTGCTGGGCTCTGGCGATCCTTCCGCCTCAACCTTCCAAGTAGCCGGAACTACAGGCATGTGCTACCACGCCCGGCTCATTTTTTGATTTATTGTAGAGATGAGGTCTCGCCAAGTTACCCAGGCAGGTCTCGAACCTGCGGGCTCAGGCAATCCACTCACTTCAGCCTCCCAAAGGCGCAGGATTACAGGCTGAGCCACCGAGCCCGGCCGGGTAAACCTTCTAAAGGAAGAACTAGAGTAACTGAGAGTGACACTATGGTATAAGTATTTAAAATAATTTCTAGTTCTAAGGCTGGACACGGTGGCTCACACCTGTAATTCCAGCACTTTGTGAGACTGAGGTGGGTGGATTGCTTTAGCTCAGGAGTTTGAGACCAACCTAAGCAACATAACAAAATCTCATTTCTACGAAAAAATATAAAAAATTGGCCAAGTGTGGTGGTGGGCGCCTGTAGTCCCAGCTACTCTGGATGCTGAGGAGGAAAGATCATCTGAGCCCAGGAATTCAAGGCTACCGTGAGCTGTGATTACCATGATCATGACACTGCACTCCAGCCTGGGTGACAGAGTGAGTCCTTGATTCAAAATAAATAAATAAAAATAAAATAATTTCTGGGTTTTTTGGGTTTTTTTTTGAGTTGGAGTCTCACTCAGTTGCCCAGACTGGAGTGCAGTGGCCGCTCTCGGCCACTGCAGCCTCAACCTACTGGGCTCTGGTGATCCTTCCACTTCAGCCTTCCAAGTAAGCTGGAACTACAGGCACGCACTACCACGCCCAGCTAATTTTCTGATTTATTGTAGAGATGAGGACTCGCCAAGTTGCCCAGGCGGGTCTTGAACCCGCGGCCTCAGGCAATTCACTCACCTCGGCCTCCCAAAGTGTGGGATTATAGGCTGAGCCACCGAGCCTGGCAACTCCTGTTTTTTTTTTTTTTTTTTTTATGTTAGGAAGTAGTATTTTATTTGCACTGGTGCGACCCAGCGGGCTAATGCTCCAAGGCTTAGCAACCCAGAGAAGGAGGAGAGGGGTTTTATCTGTTAGTTTAGATAAGGGGGGGGTGGTCAGGTTGTATGGCTATACATATTTCTTTGGAACTTGCAAGGTTGTATTTGGCAAAACCAGATTTCAAAAGAACAAATTGTCTCCAGGGTATATATGACAAGCAGGAGTTGTAAACCAATAACTTCACAAAGAAAGGATGCAGGGGTAAGATTGTGAATCAATTCTATCTTGCATTTCCAGGAAAGCAGCTTGTGGCTGTTTAGTTTTCTCACATCCCATGTCTAACAAGTTTGGGAGCTTGCAGGTTTATTTTTTTATTTTTTATTATGAAGTTGTGGGGTGCAGTTAAGGGTTAGGTATACAATTGCATTTCATTCAGGCACCCTGTTGATATGGGGTGTTTCCCCGTTCCCAGACAGATATTTGCTACAGTTAATAACTTCTGGTTTTAATAGGCAAAATAAGAGGGCTAATCCTTGGAAGATTTGACTATCATTGACAGATTTCTTTTTATCCTACCAGGGCATAGTGTATGCTAATGATCCCTTTTCACTTATTAAATCCTAGGAATATGGATTGCTTTATTACCCCTCACTGGCTAGCATGTTTGCAGCTATTATGGGCAATTGAGAGAAAAAGTAAATGGGTTCACTTTAGCACTCTTTTTTTTAAAGGTACAATTCAGGATTAGGTATAAGTGGTCATTGTACAGGTAAAGTTTGGGCCTCCCTTTGGCCTCACTTCACCTGGATTGAGATCAGGTACCCTTATTGATATTGTGTCCCCTGCCCCCTACCTACCTGGCAGTATCCCACTACTGCCAATCCTTTTCTTATGGTGTTATGGTAAATGTTCAGGATCCACTTATGAATAAGATCACGTGGTACTCAGTTCTTTGTTTCTGTGATAGATCACTGAGTATTATATACTTTAGCACTCTATAAGGTTTTTTTAGGCACTTTGAGATACTAGAGCACAGTAGACACCACTATCCTAGAAGCAAGCTACTGGTTTCTCTGGTTTACATTGTCGTTAGACTTTATCTTTTGAAGATTTCATTTAGTATTTCCCCTTAATGCTCTTGTATGCATTAATACACAAGTTCCTTTTTTTTTTCTTTTAGAGATAGGATCTTGCTTTGTCACCCAGGCTGAAGTGCAGTGGCATAATCATAGTTCACTGCAGCCTCAAATTCCTGAGCTCAAGGGATCCTCCTTCCTCAGCCTTCCAGATATAGAGTCCCACTTCGGACTACAGGTGTGTACTACCATGCCTGGATTTATTATTATTATTTTTGGAGATGAAGTCTCACTATGCTGCCCAGGCTGTTTTCAAACTCCTGGCCTCAAGCAATCCTCCCACCTTGGCCTCTCAAAGCGCTGAGATTATAGGCATGAGTCACCATACCCCAGCAAATACACGATTTCTTAACATCTAGAAATTCAAGTGCTATATGATGAGTGAGCCTGCTTCATTCCTCAGCAAATAAACATTTGTCTTTTCCCATCCCCCACTCTAATCCCTCATACAATCCCCAATGGCAAAAAAACTACTTGAAAGTAATAAATCTTCCTTCACATTACAAACACCATGATCGTTATTCTCCCAATATTTCCTGCAAAGATAGAAAGTATGGTATTCTCATTGCCACTGCAAGACAGCAGAAAAGTACTAGGGTTTATCTATGTAGATTTTTTGAAATGCTTCTCATAAAATACATTGAACCACTAGCATCAGAATTACTGGAGACCTGGCTAAAAATATGTATACTAAGTCCTACCACAAACCCATAAGAACAGAATGTTGGACAGCAGGATAGGTGATTTTCATGTACATTGAAGTTAATTTATTATCTCCTACTTCTGGACAGGGGATTGATGTATGTTACTATCTACAAAATAATGAAAACTACAAGAGGATAAGTAATTTGGCGTGTTCCCCAGATGTCTCCATCACCTAGAACAGTGGTATGTAGTCAGTAATTAGTGGTTAAGTAATTGAACACCAAAGAACATGAAGTCATAGACTGAACATACAGAAGTAATAACATACAAAGTTCATTTTGGAGCAAGCATTTAAACACATAGAAATCCTGGCTCTACTCTTTATCAATGTTTGACCTTAGGTGCATACTTAACCTCTCTGTGCTTCAAAGTTCTCAAGGAGAACAAAGAAATAGCACTACTTTCTTAGTTTGTTGTGAGGAATAAATGAGTATAAATATAGAGTGCTTAGAACAATTCTTGTCTAAAACATCAAAAACTTTTAGTTAATTGTGATTTATCAGCCCAAAGTCAGTCATCTAATCAGCTGGATCCGACCCAGATTCTCACTTCTCCTCCAACACTTTTTTTCTTTGTATGATTTGGCAGATATCAGAAGTCCTTTACCTTCCAGATATCTAGCTCTTTCACCATACTCCTTGGTCCTTCGTCTATGGGCAATTTTTAAAAAAAATCATTGCAGTCATTTTTCTAAATTACACAGGAAAACATTGGGCATTTTATAACAAGCACCTATTAACAAGGATGGACTGGAAGTCACAAACTAAACTCTTTAAATGACCCAGCTTTTCCCATTAACTTTTAGCAAAGGTTAGTGTGCCAGAGGCCCTGACAATGGGTGGATTCCAAAAACCCAGTCATAGATACATATTTTTTTAACCTCTGGGGTTAAGGAGGAGGGGTGGATGGAGAGGGGATTTAAGAAAGTGACACAAACCTCAACAGAATTTTAAATGCTATAGAAGTTAGCTTAGCAGTTTGTTTTTGTTTCGCTTCTGTTTTATAGATTGTTTTAAATCGATAAGCATTTATCTAAATGTACCAAGGTACTTCCTTTGAAGGTTGTAACTTCCATCCTCACCCCTTAAGGTACTATAAACTTTAAACTCCCCACGGTTGTAAATCCCAAAAGCTACTCTAAAATGTCAACATAATCAGGAGATCTTGGGTCATGCCTTGTTAATTCAGCCTGGGGGATGGGTGAAGGGATTAGGAAATTTTGAGTCATGTCCTTGTTAATTTAGCCACGGGGTGGGTGAGGGGCTATGAAATATAAATTCTGTCCTCAGGGAGCCAGCTTTTTGGGTGAATGTACCGACTGTCCCCATTCCATAGTATCAGATTAAACGCCCATTTCTCACAGCCTTGTGCCTCTTGTCTCTGATTGACCCCAAGGGAGAGAACAGCCGGTTTGTTAGGCCAGAACAAGATAAGTGTCTATTATAACCAAAATGAAAGCTGGTGTGACCTCTGTCCTACAGATCCTGGCATTCCAAAGGAAGAAGGACAAACAAACCAAAAGTTGTTTTGTCCAAGGTTTCAATTTTTTCCAATCCCAACTTTTGATCTACATTTCCTAATCTTGGCAGCACAGCGGGGGTAGATTCAGAGTGGACACAAAGCCTTATTCAGAATAATTCGGTTCGATAATTTAAAAACAAACTTCCTTATTTCTTCAAGTCAAGGCACATCCGTGTGGGGGGTGGGAGGGGTTCTGTCTGGGGCATTTCGAGGGCGCACTAAGAGGGTGTCTTGCGCCTCAGCTTGGGAGAAAAAGGAGGGGTGGGTGGGAAATTGTGGTCGAGCAGAGAAGAGGGGACAGAACCAGACAAATGACAAAGGGAACAGGGTCAGGGACGGGGTAGGAAGGAGAAGGGGGGGCGATTGGGTCTTATGCCATGCTTTCTGTCCTATAATGGCTAGAAAGCCAAGAGGTGGGCGCGGCAGGGAGGCGTGGAGGGCGCGGAGGCGGGTTCAGCAAGAGGCAGCGAGGGGTGATCTTATCTCCTGTTGTCGCGGGCGGGGAGTCCCGGGTCCGCCGCGGAGGCCACACCCAGGGCCTGCCCGTCCCGCGCTTTCGAGAGCCCAGCAGGAGCTGGCAGCGTCCATTGGTCAAAGAACGATCGAATGAATGACCCTTTCGCCAGGATGGGGTCCCCAGGGCCCCTGGATTCCACGGACTCTTCCCGCGGCCTGGGGCGCGCCGAGTCCTTTCCGCGCGACGCGGGGCGCGTGGGTCCTCTGGCCCCTGGAACCCCAGATATCGCGACGGCGAGGACGAGCGGAAGCCTGGGCAGCGGCCACGGGGACGGGTCGGCAGGCCCGGCCGGGGCGAACCTGGGCTGTGAGTCCTGGGTCAGAGAGAAAGTGCTCTTTCTCCTGCACCCGGAGAGGTGGTTAGGGACTCGCGGGGACCCTGCACGGGAAGAAGTGGCCGGTGAGGGGGATCTTCCTAGGGCGGGCGGAGACGACCACGACCAGGCCCCCGACTGCCCTTCTCCCGTATTTCAACGAGAAAAGCGAATTCCTGGCGGGCGTGTAGCCGCCCCCTCCGGAGCCGCGCCGCGGGACCCCGCAGCCCCACCCAGATCTGTGCTCGTGCGGGTCGTGGACTATGAGGTGACGCAGGAAGTGCTGCGGACCGCATGGACCAAGGGTTGCATGACCACGAGGACCGAGGAGCACTCCATGACCGCGGTCACTTTCCGCACCAGTAAGGAGTGAGGGGCGCCGGGTCCCCTGGTGAACCCCGGGCGCCCACGCCGCGGAGAGGGTCGAGACACCGTTCCCAAGGATCCGAACCCCTGAGGAGATTAAACACGAAAGAGGAGCTCGAGGAACGCTCCTGTCTGCGGGATGAGCGCTAATCCTTAAAAGAAAATGCTGTTGCCTGTCCCCCAACCTGCAATTAACCAAAGATAACCTTTTCAGAGACTGGCGCAGCGCTTCCGGGAGGCAGATGGGCACCAGCACAGCTTGAAGAACTGTAAGCAACACAATACCTCCTTTGTGACTTAAATACCTTAACGGTCTGGGGACTAAAGTAATTCTGAAGACAGGGAGAAAAGGATTTTCAAATTGGCAGAACGTGGGAGTTTTTGTAATGAGAAAACCTGTTGTTAACTCGCATTTTACAATAACTCTCAGTTGACGTCTTTTCTGCCCCTTCCCTTCTTTCTCTTTATATCCTAAAAGCAGAAGTGAAGTTTGAGGTCTACTCTCTGCAAAGAGGGTGGGGATGGGTGAGGAGAGAGGCCTGTTTTAAAAGCCACAAAAGAAAGCAAAAAGCAATGGGAAAATAAAATCAAAGCAACAAGTAGATAAAAACTTAAATGGTTTTCATTCCATCCCCCCATTTCTGTGTTAGGAAGAAAAAGAGAGAAGCCAGGGAGAGTAGGAGTGGGGGACAGAAGACAGATTCCAATGTGAAGTTCTGTTCAAAAAAGCTTTGCCCCAAAGAATAAAGCTTTGCCCCAAAGAATATCTAATTTAGTCCAGTAAAAATGACGTTATCTAGAACTCTTAATTTTAATGTTAAGAAAACTGCATTTAAGTCTTCTGATCTGAATTAGATAGAAATGCAACTTGACACATAATGATTGTATGTATTATTCTTGTCTACAGTTCTTCCCCCCACCCCCAAAGAGCAAAGAGATAAGACATAGTTCTTTATTAATGAGATTTGTAATCAAGAATGGATTGAGAATACCTTGCTCCCGGTGCTTAAAAAAAAATTCCTCTAGGTGCTATTAAAACAAGTCATTTTTCTTATTTTATTTATTCCTCTTAATTATTAAACACCATCTGTATTAATTCTTTAGTAGCTGACCTGGCTGGAGCTCTATGAGGAGCAAAGTAGTCTTCTCAAGGTGAACTGCTTTAATTCACCACTGCTGAAACCATATTTGGTTACTGCAAGAATCTTAAAAATGAGAGGGACTCTGGCTTTTGAGGAGTAAAGGTTGTACAGTGCCTCCTACTCTGGTCCTTTCCCTTACCCTTTATTTTTCGTTTAGGGCTTGAAATGTTCTGAAAAGATCATCTGATCCACTTCTTGCCTCCTGGAAGCCAGATAGGTTAGAAATCTCTCTATTTTACTTAGGAGCCAACCTAGGCCTAGAGATTATGTGACTTGTATAGGTCACACAGCTAGTCACTGCATATACTTACTAACTGGGCAAAGAATGTGACCATTTCTCTTTTAAAGGTTTGGGGATGGCCTCTAGAAGGATTTATTTCTGGGAGCCAAAGGATTTATTTCTGGGAGCCAAAAGAGAACACCCTAGGATTTTTAACTCATGTTTATGAGAAGTACTAGAATCACTTTGATGTCCCTGAATCCTGCAAGGCCACTAGCAGTTCTCAGGCCTGTGAGACCCTCACTTTGAGACAGGAATTCAGCACCTGAGCTCATTTGTGTTCAAAACTGCTTGACTGGTAGAAAATATAATAATGGCCCCTTAAAATCAATTATCTTTTCTTCCACAACCTGCCTGGCTTTAATGTGAGGTTAATCTTCTTGGCAGATAAGTTTCAGACTGGAGCTTATTAATTTGGTTGAATCATCACACGCCCCAAGTGATAATTATTGAATATAGATCCCCCCCAAGCCTCTTTTTGGGGGCGGGGTTGGAGTTTCACTCTGTCATCTAAGCTGGAGTGCAGTGGTATGCTCACTGCCACTGTAGCCGCAACTTGAGGGCTCAGGCTATCCTTCTGTCGCAGTGTACCAAGTACCTGGAACTATAGGTGCATGACACCACGCTCGGCTCATTTTTTTATTTATTGTAGAGATGAGGTCTTGCCAAGTTGCCCAGATCTGTGGGCTCAGGCAGTCCCCTTGCCTCTGCCTCCCAAAATCCTGGGATTACAGGCATGAGCCACTCTGCTTTCTCTGTGGGGGCAAACTCTAGAGTTCAGCTGCTTGGGTTCAAAACTGGCTCCACATCCTGCTAACTTTGTGACTTTGGGCAAAGTGCCTAATCTCTATGTCTCTGTCCTGATTTGTTAAGTGGTGATAATAAATAGTATCAACTACACAATTTTTTGGATTAGCTCAAATGAGAATACTTAGGATACTGCCTGCCATTAAAGAAATGCTCAAAGCTAGCTATTGTTAGTATTATTAGCGTGGTTGTTATCGTCTAGTTCACTTTTCATCCTAACCAGGCTTTAGTCTTTTATGTAATAACAAAGAGCAGAAAGTATATAACACAAGAAACCTAACAAACGCTGAACCAGTGGTTCTTACTAAGTGGTTTTTACTCTCTTCTGTGCTCCTGAAAGAGGGACTTATTTCTAGCTTTTCTCAACATTTAATGAATCATTACATACACTCTTTAAATTCTTAGCAATGACCTCCACACCTGATGTAAGGACTCATGTTAAGGCTCAAAAGACCAAGATGCACTATGTGTGACAGTCTTTGAGAAGATTTCACGGACTACCTCATTTTTGGCAGATGGGAGCTTTGAATACTTTCTTTGACCTGACAAGTTTGTTTCCCTCTGGGATTTTAAATCTGATACCCTGTCATCTAGAAAAAGCAGAATAGGCACAATTTTCATTTTATCTCCTTTCTTCCAGAAATGTGTCTATTCAAGTCAGCTTAATCCTTTAATCTAAATATGTTTGGGTTAGTTTTAAGTGAATTTTTTTCTTTTGTTTCTTCTTTCTCAAGCTGTGAAAATTTATTTTTTTTAAATACTTATTCAACCTCCCTGTTAACTGCCTCTGCCTGTTTGTAGATTTCCTTTAAAATAGATTTCCTTCTCATTAGAAACAAAAAATAGTAAGTTGAAGTACTGTTGGATTTGCTTCACAGATTTTTCTCATCTAAGCAGAACCATGTCATGTGAGGAGCCTGAGGAATCTTTTCTCATTCACAAGTGTCCTGGGAGTGCAAACAAACTGAAACTTGGGCATTCTCAACACCAAAAAATCTCTGAGAATGGCTGGGTCTTGGCTTTTTTATCTTACTTCTACCTCACAGAAAAACTATGATCATCTAAAATTGTGTTAAGTGGATGAATCACATCAAAGACTTCCAGAAGCCACCTGCCCACTGAGTGACTGTAAGACAAATGCCAGCATCAAGTAACCACCAAGGATCAGGCAAGTGTCTCCCCTCTCTTAAAACCCTTTATCCACAACCATTATCACCTTTGAAATTCATTACATTTGACTTGCTGCTGTTACTCTTTCCGGACTTCACCAGCCCTTGGGGATAAAACTTAATGTGGTTCTTTTCTTTAAAGAAAAAAAAAAAAAAGAAGAAGGAAGAAAGAAAAATTAATTACAAGAAAAAGTTATACGTACTGCAGGAAAATGTGGAGAAATATTATTTTGTAAGGAAAACAAAGTAAAATAAAAGGACAAAAAAATCACCCATGACGCCCAAGTCTCTCTTAATATTTGTTATATTTCAAGGATGGCTTTATTTCATTCTATTTTTATGCATATATTCATATACAAACACATATACTTTTCTAAGCATAAACTATATACTATTAGTGTAACCTCTGCATATTGAATATTATCTGAATATTGAATATTGTCTTTATATAAACTAACAATGATTTTCCCAAGGTGTGGTCTGTGAACCAATAGCATGGGTATCTCTAAGAAGGTTGTTAGAAATGCAGAATCTCAGGCCCCATCCCAGATCTACTGAATAAGAATATGCATTTTGACAAGGTGATTTACGTTAAATGTTGAGAAACATTGACATATACCCTATATTAGTTCTGTATCTTCTTTGTCACTTTCCAAAACTAAAAAGTGTTTATTTTTCTGTATTCCCCATTAGTTGTTAACAATGCCATGAAAATAATAATCTGGAGAATTTTGAAAACATCTGGAGATTACAGCAGGGGGATATATAGTATATATGGATTTTTATTTTTTAATATTTATTTATTTATTTATTGAGTCAGAGTCTCACTCTGTCACCCAGGCTGAAGTGCAGTGGCACACTTGTGGCCACTGCAGCCTCAACCTGCTGGGCTCAGGCAATTCTTCGGCCTTAGCCTTCCAAGTAGCTGGAACTACAGACACGTGCCACCACGCCTGGCTAATTTTTGATTTATTGTAGAGATGGGGTCTCGCCAAGTCACCCAGGCTGGTATCATTCCTACGGGCTCAGGCAGCCTTCTCACTTCAGCCTCCCAAAGTGCTGGGGTTTTGGCCTTTGGACTTTTAAATTAGCAAAGAGGTCTCTAAGAAACTTACTGATTTTTTTTTAAGAGCTTTATTATTTTAAGGTTTTTTTTCTAATAAACCATTGATTCATTATTAGATTTCACACTGTTTCATAAGTGTAGTTTTTACATTAGCTAGGAATGTAAAATAATACATCCTCAAAAACTCCCGAAGGGGAGAAAAAGCAGGAAGTTATTAACACATTGCACAACTGCACACTTCTGCAGACTGAGTCAGGACTTGTCAGCCGCTTGTGATGAATTGTAAGGGGTGGGGAAAAGATGTAGCCTGAATTTGAATCCATTGATTCAGATAAGAAAACAAAGAGCTGTGACTCTTGAACACTCTGATATAGCCATAACTGTCATCAGTACTATGCTTTTTAAATAGGGAGGGCAAATCTTTGTGATTTTACTTCTTGAGATGAAGACAAGAAACAGTCCTTATTGCTTTGGAAAGTATAAGAAGTTATGATCAAATCTTAGGTTCTATGTAGCTAGCAGTCACCAACAAAATGTTAAGAC